TACGTATGTCGAAATTTCGACATAATAAGTCGTAATTACGACTTACGTATGACGAAATTTCGACATAATAAGTCGTAATTACGACATACGTATGTCGTAATTTCGACATATTTATTTCGTAATTACGACATAGGCTTGGACGACTGTACGTATTGTTTCTCGTCAGCTTTTACTTATATACGATTGAAAAGTTGTGACTTGCAGTTGAGTAATATTTTAATTTTGAATTTCATATTTTCAGTTATAATTTCAAAATTCTGAATACACATCTCCCCAAAAGAGCAAATAGCTAAGAAGTACATTTTGAAAAATGTGTAAGTTGAGTGGGTTTTTTTATGACATTGCAGAAATAAATTAAATATAAAAATACTGTTTTAAAAATGATAATATAAATAATTAGAATTACTCCTTTTACGCTACGTAGTAAAAGGATAGCCTCCCAGCGCTGCAATTTTGTCCGGTACAAAATGTTTAAATATTTTGAATTCTGAAAATGTAAAAGCATTTTGAATTTGTTTAGGATAGGCTAATAGGTGGGACCGAAAGTGTGGGGAAAACGGAATGGGACGACGAAGTGGGACCATGGTATGGAGAAATGGGGTTGGGAAACGTGGTATGGGTAATGATTTCCCTCCTGCGCACACACCATATTCGTGGGCGGATCAAGAGATGACGACAAAAGGGGGGTGGGTTGACAGAAAGAGGGTGGGGAAAAAAGTTGGGCCAATCGACATAACACTACAGGGGATCCAGGGGAATTCCCCGCTAACTTTTTTGTTTGTTTTAAAGACTGAAATAACCTCTGAGGCCTTTTTAGCGTTCGTTTTTTTTTTTTCTTATTTTTATTTATTTTATTTACCAAATTTTTATAGCGCCCTTTTCATGAGTACTCATTTTCAAAGGCGCTTTACATTAAGGATACAAATAGAATACACCCACACCCTACTACGGACCGTCACCAAAATGTAATAATCTTTACTGGGTTATGCCTAACACTCCCTCTTATTTTCATTTATGTCAGTGCAGCCGTTTTTGATATATGTTGCACACAAAAATACCACATGAAAATACCAAAACGTTACACACACGCACCACACCCCCCCCCCACACACACAAAAGTTAACATCCAAAATTACTACAAAGAAATGTCATTATTTTTAAGAAACTAGAAAATAAAATTAATATCCTTTGCAGCGGTAAAAATTAGTAAAAAAAAATCCACCATTTTTCGTTCACCGTTTTTGTATTGCCCATGTACATTTCAACTCTTTTGACAATCTTTAACTTTAGTATTTAAGATTGATTTTAAAAATCTTTAGGGATATACATATAAATAGTGGCCCAAGCCTATGTCGTAATTACGACATAAATATGCCGAAATTACGACATACGTATGTCGTAATTACGACTTATTATGTCGAAATTTCGACATACGTATGTCGAAATAACGATATAATATGTCGAAATTACGACATACGTAAGTCGTAATTACGACATATTATGTCACAATTTCGACATACGCATGTCGTAAATACGACTTATTATGTCGAAACTTCGACATAATATGTCGAAATTACGACATAATAAGTCGTAATTACGACTTACGTATGTCGAATTTACGACAAAATAAGTCGAAATTTCGACATACGTATGTCGTAATTTCGACATATTATGTCGAAATTTCGACATAATAAGTCAAAAATATATATTTTAGTGGCCCTAATAGGCTTTCGTAGGTTTTGCTGCACGACGTTAACCTTCACTTAACGTTAATACCCAACATGCAGCGCGATAGCTCCGCCTCTTTAGTAGTAAGGTCTGCAGTATAGCATACTCTAGATGGCGTTAGGGGACCGGACGCTAATGACAACATTTAATGTCCTTGTTTTAGAACAATAGAAAGAAAAGGACGCTAATGACATTATTTAATGCCTTTGTTTTAGAACTACAGAAAGGAAAGGACGCTACTCACAGCATTTAATCCTTTTTTTAGAACAATACAAAGGACACTACTAACATCATTTAATCCCTTTGTTTTAGATAGTTATATTTACCTGGGGTTCCCCTTGTTTTAGTTACAATAGAATCTTAATTGTCTATTATCTTTTGAACTCTTTTTTCCGGTGTTTTAGTCACAATAGAAACTTAATTGTCAATTAATATTTTATCTCTTTTGTTTTAATTATATCTGCCAGGTATGTCGGATGATCATCAAAATTTAAATTCCTCTTAAACAATAGAAATAAAATAGTACAAAAGATATGCGGTGTCCTTGATAGGATTAATTAGTAGGATAATTGTTTGTATAGTAAAACAGTGACGATACGTCATGATAGAGAATGAATTCTGTTGGATGAGAGATTTGAGTGACGTAAAATGCGGTGACTTGTTGGTTCGAATTACCCGCTTCTAACGTCATGTAATGTCTGTTATGCCTGTAGTGCATACATTTAGAAGAAATGTAGGGGAAGAACATAAGTTTAGTTGTTTCAACTTCATCAAATTTAGCAATTATTTTACGTAATACTTATCCACGAAGATCGTGTTCAATGTTGAAACATAATTTTGTTTTTAGAGGGAAAATACATGAACATGGAAACTGAACGAATTGCATGAGAAATAAATTCAGCGTTTGTAACATATAAATAGGCATTGACATGGAATATATAGAGGTTATGAACAGTAACTTTTTAAAATATTGCGAAAAGATGTATGAAATGCACAATGAACATCTTTATAAATTAACTAAGGGAAGTTTTGCTTGATTCAAATGAGAATATCAAGACTTTTTTCAAAGACATTTTAACAGAATTTTTTAGTGATTATATCATCAACTGAGGCCGTATAATTATGGTTTTTGTGTTTGGAGCGAGGTTAGCTGTTTTATGTAAAGATAAAAATAGAACTGATTTCATTGATCAAGTAATGCAGAGTGTAGACAAATACGTGAAGACGGAATTTTTGGAATGGATTAATATCCAAGGATGTTGGGTAAGTCACTTTTTTTTGTATTTACAATCATTGATAAAAACATTCAATTCGCGTATATATACAGTATTATCATCATTTATTACTTAAAAAATGAATTTGTTTCCCAATCTATAGGCCTCAATATACATATTTTTTTCAGAACAATTTCGATCAATCGTATACTCAACACAAATCGATAGCAGAAATTCCTCTAATGAACGTTTCGTTAGGAATAGCATTAAGCCTAATAGCAACTTTGTATCTATACAACACATTCTGTGAAGGATGACATGTGTGAATTATGTGTATATAGACACACACTTGCCCAGGATGTTTCTTTTGTCAGCCGTCAAATGGTGTATTAAATACCGACAGGAACTAAGCTGGTGAACTTTACAATAAAGGTGAATTCGGTCCAGAGTCAGATGAAAATGGCAATGGGAAAACTAACACGGAAATATATTTCGATGTTTTTGTAGGACTAGATAGCGAACCCGGTAATCTGGAGTACTGGTATTTGTTTTCATGCAAAATTTAATCAAATCAAATAATGTTACCTTTTATTCCACAATGGGGAACGTTATGTCAGTAATCGAGCATCACAACGCGAGATAGTGAAGGAATTCCTGGAAGAGCGTTTGATAAATACGTTCGTCGTGTTCATATCGTGCGGACGTGTTTTATATTGAGTTCCTCAGTTACTAATTTTGTTTCAAGTCTTGGTATATTCTTGATCAAATTTTGATGTTTTGAATCTGGTCTGTGGTTTCCTTGTTTTACTGTGAACCTCTTTTGTGTCCTTTTTACTATTGAGGCGTTTTTCCGTAAGTGTTTTCCTGTATCTCGTTTTTCCCGACATTGAAGCCAGCAGAATTCCATGTATTTGCATTTTGCGTTTCGCGTCATACAAGCCGGCACGGAGTAGAGCCCGGCTTCCGTCGAGCTTCTTTTTTGTTTTTTACGTTCCTGCTTTTTTATGTTAACCTGATTTAACTTTGGTGTTCGTGATATCTGGTATGTACTTTTTATTCTTGTATCTGTGAGTTATACTTAGTGTGTTTTGAGCCATTGATGTTTGATTCGTGAATTGTTTTTCTATTGACTTGTTTTTGTGATTGCGACATTTTTGCAAACGGAATTGACTTGCATTTCGCGCCATACTGCTGGTATTGTCTTTGTGTATACCAGGATGACCATTGGATTATTACTATCTGTGTTAACGTTTTTGTTACTGAAAGCTTCATGTATTGAAGATGAGGACACTACACCGGACTTTAATGTAATGAATTACATTGTAAATTGTGGACCAAGCAAGTCATTTATACAAGGAGACGCAAAGCTTTATTGTATATTTGTATTTGCAACGCCTACAAGACAACAAATATTTAAAAAAAACAAAAATACTTCATTCCTAAATCTCGGGCCTATTCTTTAATTTTACTTATTGGACTTATACTTTCGGGAGATATACATCCTTGTCCTGGTCCAAGAACAACAAAATGCCTATGTATTGCAAGTTCGAAAGGAATTATTAAATGAAGCAAAGCAATATCATGTGACGGATGGATACATATTAAATGCCCAAATTTTTCCATTGCAAAAATACATTGAATTGTCTCAAAATAGCGAGGAATTCGACTTCGAATGCCAAAGATATCTGTTCAAACACTTGGCATTTCCTATGACGATACCCAAGAGCTTTTACCCAAGATCGATGGAATTCGCATATTAGCCAAAACATCAAATGCTGCAGTTATTGCGATTAGTGAAACGTGGCTAGATTAATCTGTGAACAACAAGGAAATCGAAATTGAAAATTACAACTGTGAATGCAATGACAGAATTACACAAACTTTGTTTGTTTATATATACGTAATGATATCTTTAAATTTACAATGTAAGGCAGGATCTTTACAACGAAGAACTAGAAACTCTGTGGATAGATATTCTACTACCTAAAACGAAACCAATTCTTGTAATAGAGTGGGGTACAGGCCTAATCAACAGCGTCAACTCTTTTTTAAATTGGAAGACGATATTAATATCTCCAAAAGATTACAAGGTCAGGAAATTATCCTTATGGGCGACTTCAATGTTGATGTGGCAAGTACATCATCCAATAATAACTGGGTTAAACAATTTTGCAATATTTTTAATCTCACCCTACTTATTAATGATTATACTAGGGTCACAGAGACAACCTCAACAGTCATTCATTTTTATTAGACGTATGAATGGATATTCAGCTGAAAAACTTAATTCTAAACTTATTGAAATCAATTGGACCGATGTAATAAATGCTACTGATGTTAATAATCCCTTGTGCAAATTTAAGACGAAATTTTTAACAGTAATTGATGATGTTGCTCCTCTAAAATGTGTAAGGACTAAGCAACGATCTGAGCCATGGTTGATTACGGAAATTAGAGATCTTATAATTCAAAGAGATGTTTATCTAAATTAAAAAAACAGAGACAGTAGTTTTCTTACGCAATTTTAAAAACTTAGAAACACTGTACGTTACAAAATTAAAAAAGCAAAATGGAACTATTTTTCCGACCAACTTAGTGAAAATAGAAACAACCCCAAAAAACTTTGGAAAACTTACAACGTAAAAGAACGTTAAACAAATTAGTAACCTTTCCTTAAAATGTAATGACTTTTTTTATGACAAAGAATCCGTGGCTGATTATTTGAATTCTTTTTTTTTTGTGTTAATACTGCAACTGTATTACAAAATACGTTGCAAAACCAACCTGAAATTTTTAATGTAAGTCATGTAAAAGTGTTCTATAAAACAAAATATGTAAAACCTTGTGATCTCGTATTAAGGGAAGCTGATGAAGATCAAGTTCTTGACGTCATTAACAATCTTAATGTTAACAAAGTAGTTGGATTAGATTCCTTACGTGTTAGAGTTGTTAAAGATGGTGCTAAGAGCATTGTTCAGCCTCTCACATCCATTATTAATTTATCTATTAGAACTGGATGTATTCCTAAAGACTGGAAATGTGCCCGGGTTATACCCATCTATACTGCCTTGATTCGGGAAAACGCATTATATCCATTTTTGAGTATTTTAAGATTTTTGGCTTAGGGCCATCCTATGGATGTAATCTATCATGTGAATTGATCATATACCCCAAAAAATGTTTATAAATATGAAATTAATATGAGAGTTACGCATTATATCCATCCACCAAAGCAAACAAATCCGGAAGAGTGCATTATATCCACCAAGCATTGAAGAGTGAGCAATCAACCAATCACAGAAGACAATGATGCATATTTAATTAGTTCCCTAGCTGGTGGAAGGGTATAATACCAAGTTTGTTTTTGATCAGAGTACAATTGATAAAAGAAGAATGCATTGTTCTTCATCTTGGCAATATGACCATGACCAAATTGTGGCCATAATATAAATTTTAGTCTGTAATATTAATAATTATTATTATAACTAAGACCATTCAACAAACAAAATAAAATACAACATATCAAACTTAAAAATGTTTTAATAAGACTTTCCCTTTAAGCCAATGCTTGAAATTTAGATATAATACCTATGCTAAATTTACATTTAACATATTTAGCTATATCTAAATGAGTACACTACCTTATAATTTAAACAGACATTTATGAATGGGCCTAAAGAAATGTGTTTAGAAGTTGGGTATTTATTTTTTGTTTATTAAATTGAAAGGCGGGTATTCTTCATAGTGAATTTAAGTAAATTGATTATTTATGTTGTAAACACTTACTAACAGTGTTGTTGCTTGTTCTTTCTGTAGTGGTTAATGATAGTATTTAATTAAAATTTTACGTGTACCATACCATATTTTAGGGGAAATACAACATTTACTAAATCAGATCAGACACATTTTATAAATATTTTATGAGAATGACTGCAATAATGTTGCTAAATAATATAAACAAAAACCCTTAAGAAACTTTTTTGTTTTGTTTTAAGTTATTTAAACATAATGGAACTTAAACCTCTAAATTCCTGGTGAAAATTCACTCTAATTTGTTATTTTTTTTATTAGTTCTTCAGTAAAGAATAATGCATTCTGCTGGCAAAACTGGATATAATGCCTAACATCAGATTTTTCATGCTTCATTGGCTTTTGTTTTAATTTGGAAAAGCGCATTATGTCCATTTTGACTGGGTTATAGAAAAAAATAAATAAAAAAAAGTACTTCAGTATGTTTTTCTGTTGTGTAGTTAGTACATTTACACAAAAAATTCAATATAATTCATTTCCATAACAAAAGGCTAACAAGAAACGAGTTTAGCTTATAATGCGTTCTTCCGAATCACGGCAGTATAAGAAAAATGATAAGTTAGATGCTGGGAATTATCGGCCTATATCTATACTATCTGCAATTTCCAAAATAGTTGAATGTATTATTATGATCAATTAATGAGCTACTTAACTGATAAAAATCTCCTTTACGATTTCCAGTCGGGCTTTAGGCCGTCGTTCTCTACTGGCACTTGCTTGATTCATCTGTCTGATTATACGTAAAAAAGTGGATAATGGTGAATATACTGGTATGTTAGTCTTAGAAAGCGTTTGAAACCGTTCAACACAATAATCTTTTGTATAAATTAAGAACTATAAGTTTATCCGATATATCTATTGTATGGATGCAATCATATCTGAGGGGAAGATGTCAAGTCGTTGACATAAATGGTACTACATCTCCTATGCTATAAACGAAGTGTGGTGTGCCACAGGGCTTACTACTTGGGCCTCTTCTATTTCTATTTTATGTCAATGACATGCCATCCTCCGTGGAATGCAAATTATTATTGTATGCTGATGATGCAGCGTTAATGGTATCAAGTAATAACGTAAAACATATTAAAATTAACTAAAGAACTAAAATCTATAAATAAATGGCTTATTGATAATAAACTTACGCTACATTTAGACAAAACTGAATCCATTTTATATGGAACACGAAATATGTGTAGAAGACAATCAATATTGGATATTACCTTTAATAATTGCAAGATA